ATGCTCATCAGTAGAAATGTGTAAGCATCTCTTTGTCACTCATTCACCATTCAGCTGTGTTGTCTGTTTGGTACTCAGTCTGGAAGACGGTGGAAGTGACTGGTGTGGTTCTAGGAGTGGAGGAGTGAAAGGTCAGCAGAGGCTTAAATGAGCTTGTCTTACATCCAGCTGGGCCAGCAGGAGATCATTAGGAAGATCCGAGGCTCACTTTAGGCTTGTCAGAGTCTCTCCCCATGATACAAGGAGACCGTTTTGCTCATTGCTCTTCTCCCAGTATATAAAAAGAACCCCAGAGACAGGAATGACACCAAAGTTTATCTTACTACCAAAGTTTTGCTTGAGGAGGGCACAACTAGCAATTACTCAGAAGGGGGATTTATTTTGTTTGTTTCCCTTTGATGGAAAGTAATGGAGATAAGTACAAAAGACCTATTGATCTGCTGGCTTCTATTGTGAAACCAAATAGCGTAAAGGAGGGAAAATCTCTTCCTCAACATTTAAGTGTCAGAGGACCTGCACAACTTCACTTTATAAAAGATTTTTGGAAAAGGAGAGTGTCAGTTTGATTGGCAAACTTATAGGAAATGAAATGCCTTAAAATGTTCTCTTCTTGTACTTGAAGAAAATTAACACGCTGTATTTGACGGCTAATTATATGAAGGCAAATATACTAATAGTTACCTCAAACTGGTGCTAAGTGGCTCATTTCTTGAAGGTAGTGAAATCATGTGCATTTATTGAAAATCTCTCTTTAGAAAAGTTCTAAGTTTCCAAACATAGAGAATGATGAAAAAAATGGATGTTGCCGCTGAGAAGGTGATAACAGGAGGCAGGTAGCACGTTTTCGCATCTTCACCTCTGTCGTTAATGTATGCAGTGGCTCATCAGAGGTAGCTCATGTTAATTTATTCCTACACACCTGTACAGGGCTGGAAGTCAGGTAATCAGACAGGCAAAAACTATACATCTCTGCTTTTTAGCTACAGCTACCCAGAGGCCTATATAGGAACAAATTTAGTTCTGGAGACATCAGCAGGTTTTAATAAACCAAATACAGATGTCTTCCTCCATACAAATCAAGAAGTTTACATGTTTAAATCTGGACTGATTTAACTAGCAATCAAAGAGAAGGTTCACACTTGGCACCAATGGTTGCCTCATATTTATTTATAAATCACCCTAAGCAAATATTATTTTGTTTTTAAATTTATTCATGGGGCTGCATCATCTTTCCTACACCTTGAAGATTAAACATACATGCTTACTTTTCTAATAAAATTTAAGACAAACTTTGGCCATCAGTGGCTGCTGTTCTCAGAAGGGAGAAATGAAGATGGTAAAGACCATGGAAGACGTAAAACAAAGGGATACACAGTTCTTTCTGGGCAGATCACCTTGTTTCTGTATGCAAAGTCTTCATTTTACTTGAGGGAGTTTTAGCATTGCCAATCACTAAAACAGGTATGAATAGATTTTAAGGTATTAGCAAATGATAAGAAATTCTAGGAAAGAGGACTGAAGGGCATTTGTTTGTTATTGTTGTTGTTGTTGTTACTGTTTTTTTAATACAAACCAAATGTTACTTATAAATGGGCTTCCCTTATATACAGGTGATCCATGACTGTTTCGCCCCGGGATGGAAATTCAAGACAGATGATGAGAAATGACCAAAGGTAAACTAGGCCCAGCTAATTCTGACTACAACATGTCTCCAAGAAAATTTCCTTTATGAAGACTAGGTTTGCTTTAAGCCAGTTATAATTTCTTCTTCCCAGGGAGTTTTTCATGTGCATACTTCAAAATGGAGAGTCAGCTTCCTGATCCTTTAAAGAACAGTATCTTAGTAGCAGAAAAGTCAAGGGATAAACAAGGAAGGAAGGAAGGAAGGAAGGAAGGAAGGAAGGATGGATGTTTAGGAGAGCGTCAGGTCTAACACTACACCACATTATCAGTTTATAGTTAAACACTTTAGTAATCACCTTATCGGGCCATAGTTCTTCACAGAGACAATAATATACATTTCACTTCCATAACTCAGAATGAAAATGATTCCAATAGCCATCTAGTGACTAGATGAATTGATCTTTGTGTACATTGCTCTCTATCATTAGTGTGGAATGGTCCTCTTTCTCTTGAATTTACTACACTCACACTCAGTCACAACTGTATAAAAAAAGGATACCTTCAACACTGTGCTTAGAATCTTCAGCCCTAACAAACCATGCCTGGAACCCCCTCTCCCCCGCTGCCACAGCTTCTCCCTTTGTATGATGGTAGACAAAGAACATTTTTGCTTTTCAAAAAGCCTTCAACTTGATCTTATAAAATCTAGAAAGACCATGAGCAAAGATCTGGACATCTCTCATTGCAAAATGGAAAACACATTATTTAATATCTTTCTACTTATATCTTACTAACATGTCTATTTGAAGACCAAAAATGCAATTCCCTTGTGTATAGCCATTTTGGAAAAAGCCAAGAAGACCTGGGTATCACTCCTATAAGATGTTCTAAGACCAAAGACAAGAAGACTGCTTTTATAAACAGAAGGAAGAGAGTTATTCTGTTAGTTTTATCACTACACATCCTGTAGCCTTGCACACTTCAACCCCCACTCGAAATCCCCTCTAATGCTTTATTTGCACAAGGAAGACATTTTGGAGTCAAGGATTGGTGAATCAAGACTCTGGGGAAAGGAAAGAAATAGGCCTGAGGACAGCAGGATTAAAGGCAAAGAAGGGTTTCTGTTTGGGAACGTCTGTTGGCTCAGAGAAAGGTAAGAAAATCTGTCTTAGCTTCATCGTGAACTGAAGAAGAAAAAAGCAAGGAACCAGATTCCTGGGGCTCTCGTGACTAATACAACAAAAGTGAAAAGAAAGGGGGAAGGTTGAGTCCAAGTGGTAGATCGGAGATATGGTCCAAGAGGCTCTGTGAAACAGGGGATTAAGGAGTGGAAGCAGTGACGGTGACTGGCTGAAATGGGAGGTTGGTTATGTGTGAGCTCACTCTGCAGAGATGCAGGAAGAGGTAGTGTCCCCAGCGGCATCACTGTTTCTGGTTGCGTGGTGGTTTGAGTCATGGACTCAACAAGGATGAACACTTTTTTTTTAAGGGAAAAAATGTCAAAATTAAAGCATCTTAGTTTTTGAGAAGTTTTTAACCTGGGATCCAAAAATGTGAGCATTCTTGAAAAGCAAAACTTCAAGGTAGAGTCAAAAAGCTTCCTTTGCATGGTTTGCTTTTTCTTCATTTATCATGTATTACACAACTCCAGAATTATAAAGATTAGCTGTGATGTGCGATTTCACCCAAACGAAATGTATCACCTGTCTTCTGAGGTTTGCTATCTCCTGTGTGACTGAAGACACAAAGGAGAGTATCTGTACTCTGCTTTTCTAGAACATCCAGTTACCCTACCCTAGAAACTTCTTCTAAATCTCCATATGGCTAGTCATCTGCCAAGTTCCTAATCCTTAGAAAAATGGAGATTGAAATATTCTCCGGCTATTTATAAATGTTTTTCCTTAGACAAACCACCCTTTCAACAGCACTTCCTTATGCATTAGGACATAAAAACACAAGTGCTTGTGTTTTCTAGTGGTTTGACATAAATGAAAGCACCACGCTTTGGGTGTTGTAGCCTTTTGGTCCCAAAGCCATTTATGCCCTTGTTATGACTTACAGTATTTTCAGCAAACCAACTAAAACTGTGATAGGAATTCATGCAAATAAGCTTAAATTTTGGCTTGTCTTCAAACACTCCATTTCCATAAATATTTTATGCAGGTTTTCATGAGTCTTTTATTTTTGTTAAAAAAAAAAATCCAGTGCATTAACCTCATTATCACAAGTGCACTATTTCAAATATAAAAGAATGAGTATTGCTCACAAACTTGGGGGTGGGAGATTGTGTCGAGTAGTATATTTTATTATTCAAATTATAGCTATCTTATCTGCTGTATTCTGGTACTGTGAACTGGTAACTCAGAACTGAAAAGGACTTTGTGACTGTAAACTGTTTTTACAGAACATGGCAAAGGGGCATGGGAGAGAAGGCTGGGGAAGGTGAAATCTTAGAGAATACAGATTTTTCTTCAAAGCATGTTTTGAGCATGTTGAGTATAAAGAGAGCCACTTACTTTTCTCAGAAATTTTGCCTTTAAATGGATTGGGCCTCTTGCATTCCAGTACTATGGAAAATATTTTTTTAACTTCTCTTTTTAAAAAGATTTATCTTTTAAATGTGTAGAACGAAACCGAATATTCTAGAAGCCAGTCGCCACTTTTCAGTGGTACTTTTGTTTTCTGTTACTTTGTCAAAGGATCTACCCAATGATTAAGTGCGAGAATTTGGGGGATGGCTATTTGGAAACTTGCCAGTTAATTCTGTTTCTTCTACTATACTGATTTTTACCATGTAATGAAATTTTTTCTAAAAATATTTTAAAAGGCAGCGTAAAACCAAAAAGGCACATTGGACAGAAGAGGAAGAATTAACTGGTGTGTGACTCTGGTTTGGGCTGGTATATTATGTAAATGATCTGCCTGCAAGCTTATCTCGAGTGTAGGATGACTGTGTTACCCCACCATTGACCACCTTGACACATTCCATTTATATTACATTTTCTTTAGGCTTGAAAAAGAACATTGGAGGTTTAAGACCAGCTGCTTCTGTTTAAACCCAACTGTTTCAGAGCTGTAGCCACATAGCCAAGGTCTGATGTCATCTCAAGGCTGGACATAATATATTCTAACTGATCCTAAAAGTATATGCATGCCTCCCCTTCTGTGCATAATTCCCACGATAGACTATATTTTAGAGATGCGCTCAAAGATACCGTGAAGTTAAAATAAAGAAACCCGTACCATACCCACCATACCATTTCCCCACATTAAATAATTATTTTGGTCCCACTTTCTTCCGATATTTTCATGACTCTTACAAGAATTCAAGGACACACTAAATACTCATGTAAGAATGATAACATTTCTGGTTATACCTACGGAGATGCAGGCTGTCTCGATGTCCTGGACCTATGGTTCTTTCCATCCGTAAATTTCTGTTTCTATATTGGATAAATATGTGTGTATGAAGATAATATATTGATTTAATTAAAAAGCCACAAGGCAAAGCAGAAATATATATAACAGAAGCTGCGGCTTCTACGTGAAGCTTCATGAGGAAGCAGGGAACTGTGTACATAGTTAACTTATTCACACCTAGATGCATGGGGAAACATACACACACACATACACAGAGCACAGAGAAAAATGGCGTGCATTACTGGGTAAGATGGCACATGATTCTGCATGCTTAGTCATAACAAGCACCAACTGCAACAATCCTTCATGAGCATGGCAGCTTGGTTATCTCATGGTCACTGCAGACAATCTTTACAGTGCATCAAAAACATCTCAGTTGGATTTTTTTTAACGCTAAGTCCAGCATGACTGGCACCCTCCACCCCCAGCAGGAGCAGCCAATGGAGATTTACTGACCTGTCTCTGCTTCGGCGAGAGGGGAAGGCAGCATTGCAGCCAGCCACCGTGCAGACATGCATCTCTTTTAAGTGAACATTCCTGTAGTGAAGCTTCACACTGTAGGAGCTTTTGAAACTCTTCTTGCACACATAACAGATTTTGGGGTCTGGGCTAGAACACAGGTCCCCTTCTGGGGAGAATTTCTGAGGGCTGCCATAATTCAGAGACGATGTAAAACTTTCATGCAGGGCTGCCATGCTGGCTCCCCCACCATTGTACAGTCCATACTGGCTCATGTAAAACATGTCGTAAGTGGGATCTGTGAATTCTTCCTTCACCTTGATGACATCCTGGTGAGAGGGCTCACTGTGGTTCTCATCAGGCCTCTCACTGCTCATCAGGACTTTTTCGCTTACTTCACTGTGAATGTGCTCATCCCCTTCCATGGACTCCTCGCCTAGTTTGGGCTCTGAAGACTCAGACTCATTCTCATAGTCCCGCTCAGGTTCTTGGTCCTCAGAAGTCATGCTGTCAGCCCTTCTTATTTCAGTCCTTGAAATGCACCGGGTCCTGCTATGTTTAGAAAAGTCCTTCACAGACATGCCTGGACTCATCTCCTCTTGGGAGTGGCAATGATTGTCATGGCTCACGTCGTTGACCACAGCTCCACCATCGTTGGGGTCATCATCTTCATCATCAAATTCATCAGCAGTATCAATGATCTCCTTCTCAATCTTCACAGGCATGCTGGACTTCCTGGGCTTTTTCTTGGGCGCCAGGTCGGCACTGGGCTCGTGAGTGGCCATCATCACTACTGGTGCTGTGGGCTCAGAGGGTGGTGGGGGGTGCTGCTCTATGGTACCAGTGGTTGGAATGATGGGACTGGTTGGGAGGGAGGTTGGAGGACTCACCATTTCCCCTGGAGTGAGTAAACTTCTATAAAATGGAGGAACTGGCTGTACAGTCTTTAGCCCAGAAAACACCAGCTGGCTAGGCAGAGGATTCTGCAAGACGGGGTCTAGTGGGGGAGTGGTAAAACCCATTGGGGGCCGGCCAGGGCTTGTGAGTGTGAGATTTGATTTTGTACTTGCTATGACGGGGGTGGCAGCTCCTGATGTGGCCCGAATTAAATCTTTGTCTCGGTTATTTCGTAGCATGGGCATGTGGAGGCGAGGATTAGGGTTTGCACTGTGGCGATTCCGGCTTCGGAGGGAGCTAAAGACCATGTTGCAACCTTCGATGGTGCATCGGTGTTTGATCTTCAGGTGAACAGCATTATAATGAATTTTGAGAGTACCTTTGTCATAGAATGTCTTCCCACATGCGTTACAAAACACTCTTCCTTTCCTAGAGGCTGAACCCATCCTTCTCATCCGGTGAATCCGGAAGGAGCTTTTTGGGTGTTCAGTTTTGGTCAGATCACTGACTGGGGCAGAATTCTGAATGGGAGATACGCAGGCTGGCTCGGTTTTGGGCTCCACATTAGTAATGCTGGTCAGGGCATTTCTATTGGGTGTCTGATCATTCTTATAAGGTGTGGGAGATACTTCAGATTCACTGCTCTCGTTGTATTCATTCTGGGTTGAAAGGCTTGGTTCCCGCAGCCTTAGTCCCGGTTGCTCTAACAGTAACCCGTTTGGAGGCAATCCTAGCAGTGGGGCCGAGACTGGGTTTATGTACTGGAATGGAAGCAGAAATGCAAGGCTGTTGGGGATGTTTTCGAAGTGATGAATGCTGGAAGGGTTGCTGTTCTCTAGGTGAGCAAGAAGGCTGGGACTCCGGGTGCGATTATTGCTCTCAATGAAAGTCCTTATGTCTGAGTCTGTCTTTGAAGATGGTACAGCTACGGCCTGCCCTTCTTTCTCCTGAATTGCCATCAGCTCCACAATGGACTTGGTTTCTCCAAACCGCAGAAACTGCTGAAGGGTGATGATTTCCTCTTCTCGAGACATGATGGCCCAGCGGTCCAGTACCTTGCCGGCAGCATCCTAGAGGCCACATCAAAGAAACAACAAAGATAAACAAAAAAACTTATTGATTGTGCAAAATTATTCAATGCAACTGAAGTGCTCTGCCTGCTCATGAAACACTGAGAGCAACAGCAGAAAACACACAAGCACTGTTCATAAAAGTCAACCTACAAAGCAAACTTTTCTGCCATGCAATTGCAGTAATTAGAGTCACAGTTAGAGAAACAGATTTGAGTTTAATGTCAAAGCAAACAAAATGTAGACCACTGGGGCTCTGTGATCTAACATGCCTTCACTACTGCTATTTTAACAACAACGGTCTATACAGAATGCAACTACTTAGCACACATTAGTATAAGACGTGAACTCTTGCTGTGCAACCCAGTAAAAATACAAAAAATGGTACCAGAATCTGTATTAAATAGTGATACCATAGGAATGGATTAAGTACATTTTGTGAAATTTACCTCCTTGACACAAGCAGATGATACTGGCTTCAGCGATGAAAATTCCTTTAAATAAATTATATAACTTTCTGAATCAAAATGATGAAAAAAGGAGCTTTGCTGTCTATACCTCCATCACTAAATGGTATTTTTCTCTCTTTAATGGCTGTATTTTAGTGTCATTTACTAATAGACAATCTCATAAGGTAGCATTAAGGAAAAACAGTGATTGTACTTTTCCTGAAAATTGACTGTAACCCTAGGCTTCAAAGTTTGAGTTAGACTTTAAGTATTTGACTTTTTATGATCTTGTTATAAGTGACAGTTATAGATATTTAGAAAGTAAACATGTGATGGATTTAGATAGAATAAATGTGTAAAAATGTTTTCTCTTAACATCCTCCTCTGATAGCAAAGGGAGTCCACAGAGAATACACATCAGTAATCACCAGACTATGTGTTGTTAAATATACATTAAAAAGCATTTCACACTTTCATTTTTGCTAGTAACTATGAGATTTGCCTGGAGGTAGGACTTAAAAATCCTGCAATGTAATGTCAGGCAATCCACTTCAGCATGGGCTGGGAGAAATGTATTCAAATGCTTAAATAATGACTCCATCATTTTCTAGAGCACAGCTTCTTCCTAACCAGGTCGGGACACTTCCACAACCTGTACTTGTCTCAACCTGCCTATCAATTTAAGGAAGCATATAATCTTCTTAAAAAAATAGTATTAGACACTTATTAATTACAAAGAGAAAAACCATAACGTTAAATGGAGAAACCCAGCAGACACCACCTTACCCAAGTAACCAAAGTCAACATCACCAGCGTTTAAGTATCATCATGTACCTCCTGATATATACTGAGAAGTGTACGTCATCCTTTTCTTGTAAAAAAAAAAAAAAAGTATAACCTCAATCTAAATCATGAGAAAACATCAGATAAAGCAAAATCAAAGGGCATTCTACAAAACAGTTGCTATTACTCTTCAAAGTATAAACATCAGTAAAGATTTTTTAATAAGGACCAGAGAATGGTTACAGATTAGAGGGGACCAAGAAAACGGGACAAATAAATGTAATGTGAGACTCTAGAGATACCAGACCACAAAAAGACCCTTAGTGGGAAAACTGGCGAAATCTGAATAAAGTCTCTAGATCAGTTAATGGTATGGTACCAATCTTAAGTTTCATCAACTGTGCTGTGTTAACGTGGAATGCGTCATTCAGGATAAGGGAAATTATACTACTCTTGTGATGAAAAATTCTATCTCATGGATCATTCTATTCAGTTTTGTGATATCAAATTCTCTCTGGACCACAATTGTATGGTCTGAACCACGACCACTAGTTTGGCTGTAAGGAGATACTTATCACTTATTTAAACCGCTTTACAAAAAAGAATGTCCCATTCCTGATAAGACCCACTCCAGCACTCTATCATTTTACATAAAGTACATGCTTGGGCATGTGCATGTGGGTGTCCATTCCTGCGAAAATTGTCTGTCTTTCATGTTGTAGATAACACGAGCTCAGATCAAATACCCTCATGCACTATCTGCTCAGAATACTTACATAATGATACGTACATAAGAGGACTCTGGGTGATTCTGGAGTCCTGCAACAGCCAGTTTTTAAAAAGTATCACTCAAAGCAATCGGTCTCCCTTACATCCTTTTTTTCTTTTTAAGAATAGGGAAAAGCAAGGGGGAGTGTTGGTGTTGTAGGTAAATAGAGAAATAAATTGTGATTTTGTATAGATTATCTCATTTGAACCTCGTAATAGCTTCCAGAGCTCAGCAAATGTGTAACAGATGAGGGGCCCAGGGTGAAGGAAAGGGGGATGGCTGGTTGAGGTTGCCAAGATGCTAACTTGGGGTCTCAGACTCGAATCCAGAAATTCCGACTCTAAGTTCATGGAGTGTAGTAATGACTGTCGTCCATAATGCCATTTCCCAAGTGGGCACATTGAGTCTGTGACAATAAGGAGTAGGACTTCTCCTGCACAAGGCTGGTCTCTGGAGCAGTGTAACGTCCACTTCTACGCTACTTTTCTTTTACCATCAAATGCACTCTCTTAATTGTTCTTTTATGAACGCTTTTACTGTGGATCCTTTCTCAGGCTACGGTGCGACCTGAGCAGCACAGTCATTCCTTCCCAGGTAGCCTGCACCTGAGTCTGCATGTCAAGAATGTACTTACACAGCTGGTGGCCGCTGGTATTAAAACAGCCCTTAGAAACCATAGCAACTGATCAAACCCACCTGAGGCATCTCCTTCCCATCACCCTCCTATCTTGTCTCCCCCAACAGAACACAGCAGTCCCATATGGTTTCTCTTTTCTCCTGGCCTGCCGCAACGCCTGCCGCTATTTCTAAAACCACTGCCTTTCAGACCTCTTTTAGTCCTGAGTAGCTGTCTCCGATAAAATGGAACTGTTACGTTAAACCACTTACTTCTGGTAGAAGAGGTCCAGGTAAGCAAGATTTAGAACTTTGCTGGTAGCCTGAATCATAAAAGAGAAGCTTCATTTATAGTGATAACAGAAACAGCGATTTATAGTTACATAGAAGGACAACATAACATCTTTGCAAACAAATGTGCTTGGGAACAGGACAAACATCCACAGTGCCCACTCACACTGGGGTTCCCCTGACAGGGCACCCTCTGCATCCAGGCAATATGAAGCATCACAGAAGTTCTTTCCAAAGAAGCCACAATTTGTATTTGATCAACGGTATCTACTATCATCATGCTCATGAACAAAGCAACTGCCGAAAGAAGCAAGTTGACGTTCTTATATAACATCATGGGTCTGCAAGCTCAATGGTAGGAATGGCTATCGGTTTTAGCACAGCCATGGATAAACTGGTTGAATGGGACTTGGAAGTCACCAAAAAAAGGCAGGCCTGGGTTCTTTCTTCCTGAAGATCTCAGTGACAGAGATAAGCATGCTCTGGTGCAGTGATTCTCAAAACAGTGGCTTGGGACTCCTGTGTTAAAGCAAGAATTTCCACAAGGGGTCTATATGCTATTAAAAAGGACCAGTCTGGCAAATAATTGAGAGTAATCATTTAGAAGACTTCAAGACAATGTGATGACTACTGCAGCAATGAAAAGCATGATGATTTTTTTAAATGAATTTCTTTTTATTTTATTTAACTTAAGTAGTGGCTCAAAAGTGATGGGGGGAGTTGAGGGGTGGGGAACTAGTCCTTCCTCACAGATAATCTGAGAAGTACAGATCTAAAATCTTGGCCCCCATGCCATGTCAAATAAACTTTACCAGAGTGAATAAGAGCTATAAAAAGAATTAGGCTTTATCACAGAATAAACATTAATAAAACAATAATTCAGTCTGGTAGACCAATATGAATGTCCTGACTGGTGACCAACCCATAATGGGACATGGGTCTTGTGCAGGAATAATAAATCACAGCAGAGTAACAGGACTCAACTTTTGTCCTTCCCATTCCATCTTATAGTCAGTGAGTCAACTCCTTAAGGCTTTCCCATTTATAACCAGAGTTCAGTGACCTTTAAACTTTTACATTGGGAATTGTTATTTACAAAATGAGGATAATAAGATTTACCCAGGTAAGTGAAATGCAAGGTATTATTATAAGTGTTGATTTCTTGTGAAATAACCAGCTATACTATTAATTAAAAGATGAGTAAGACCAAATAATACTAACTTATAAACCAGTTTTACTGGGTTCAGAAAAAGTATAAAACACATAAAATATTTGCATATAACTATTTTAAATGAAAAGACTTTGTTTTATTATTTTGCTGAAACTGGTGATCATCACGCAGTAGAAATCTGGCACCTGGTTCTGTATGGCTCTGCAGAGTGCTTTTTTAAAAAAAATTTTTTTGTAGTAGAATCAATTGTCCTGGTCTTATAACTGTATAGAACTATTTGTCAATAGTTTTACTTAAGCCCTTTCTTCACGTTAAAACACAGTATATGACCCATAGTTTTAAGATCAAAGTAAGGTTGGTTGGTTTCTCTTACCTAAGGGAAAGGGACAGTAGAGAAGGAAAGGATGTAAAGAGATGGAAGAAAGACCAGATAAGAAACTTTGGGATAATTAGATTGTCACGTGACCTCAAGCCCACAGACTCCTTTGTTCAAGAGGAACCTATGTGTGTCCATGGCAGGCCCCACAATGCCACAGCACAGAGAGAAAACAATGCCTTTCTGTCCATGCATGTAAATGAGGGAAGAACAGTGAACACAGCAGAGATCTGGGACTTGCTCTAGGCTTCTTCAAATCATTAAGAAATAGTTTAATTCTAAAAAAGGCAGAGAATAGTTTAATTTTCTATTCTTATTACATGAACTTCTTGTAAGCCAAATTTAGGACATATATTTTTAAAATTCCTAAAATTATTAGCTAAAAATATTTCCTCTGATATAATTTTAAATCCTTTAAATGATACTGAGCTATAGAGAATGCTGACCACGTGGAACAAAATCAGAGGTTTAGAGATGTACTTTTTTTATTTCATGTCTAGATTTGAAGTGTGCTATCTTGAGAAATTATTCCAACATAACCATCTT